GACACTAGTGGGGAGACAGAGAGAGAGAGAGAGACGAGGGGACAAAGATGAGGACCCAGAGACAAAAACAGATGAGGAGAGATGAGGACTCAAAAATGGGGAAAAGAGAGAGATGGGGAGATACAGAGATGGGGACATAGACAACAATGGGGAGAGAGAAAGTTAGGGAGAATGAGTTGTGGAGGAGGGAGAGACAGGCAGCTGAGACACAGAAGGGGAAGTGAGACAGCCACAGGAAGCATGAGGGGCCCAGAGAGACAGGGAGGGCAAGGCAGTCCTGACCTCCTGACAATGAGAGAGCCAGAACAGCCCTGGGAGAGCAGAGAATGCAACCATGGAGTGACAAATTTCCAGACTGGGTGGGAGACAGGCTGAAATGGGCACCCATGTACAGACTCGGGGGACAAGGAACCCTTTAGGTGTCAGTAGTCAGGCAATAGAGATGGTAGCTGAGAAAATCAGAGCCATGCAGATGGGACAGACAGACAGAAAGCAAAGCCCTAGGAGGAGACACAGCCCAAGAATGCCTTACTCTATAGTAGATCTGCCTGGGCTCTGCACCACACATGGTTGACATCAGGAGAGGTCTTCCTCCCCACATCCCTTAGGTGACAGGCAGAAGTGCTTATCTTTGTGGAGGGCTGAGACCCCCCCAGTTTCCAAGTCCTTAAACAGGGGCAGCTTATGCAATGTTTTGCTTTTGTTCACTGTTGTACCTAACCCAAAATCTTCGGGTGACAATGCTCTCCCACACTGCCCCTGGTCTAGATGCAGAGGGGTCCAAGGAGGAGAGGGAAGATGGGAAAGAAAGCAAAGTAAATGGGAGATATAGACACAGAGGAGAATGGGACCAGATGCTGAAAGGCCACCAAGATGCAAAAACCTCGCAAAGGGGCCTCTGTGGAGAGTAAGAAAGATCAGGATGGCAGATGTGAAGGGGCAGAGATGGGCAAAGAGTCCCCAACAGGAGATTCAGGGCTTGGGGGCAACCCAGGGACAGATCCAAGAAGTGGGAGAAGAAAGGGGGACAGTTCTTCAGGGCAAGTGACTACTGGTCTCCTGGACACAGCGGAAAAGGGGCCCCATAGAAGAACATAGGTGAGAGAGTGTGAGTTTCATTTCTAGGAAGTGGGGGTAGCCGGTTTTATTACTGGCTGATATCTGGGCCCATCTGGGGGCTCTCTGGAGTTCAGAGAGTGAGTTCCATGAGTGTCAGGATCTTGGTTGTCTTGCAACTGAGTTTACACAGGGAGAACCTAACAATGTGTCCGCCTGGCACTTCCTGGGTGCTCCATGTATCTGCTGAATAAATGAAAACAGGGCTTATCTAATCCAGTGGTTCTCAACCAGTGGGTCTCGACCCACAGGAATTGTATTAAAGGGCCATAGGTCCTTAACTGTATTAAAGGGCCGTGACATTAGGAAGGTTGAGAATCACTGCTCTAATCTGTTATCAGGGATTCTACACTCCATCTAATATGCTGCTGTGAGGTCTCCTATGAAGGCGCGACACATTTCCATCAACCAGTCAATACACAACCTTGTTTTATGTGTTTTTGTTGAAAGACACCTTAATATGTATCATTGATTCAACCACATGGAAGTCATGGCCAATAGCCCTTTAATGTGCTGAAGAAAGCTTATCTAACACACATATTTTCACTGCAAGGCATATCACAGCCTTCCTGTGCTTAGGAACACTATATGGCACTTTAGTGCGATGCTTGGGGGACATTTGAAACATTGAAATCACTAATAAACAGCCCAAAGATGCAAAAAGCACAGCACTAAATAGACCAAGAGAAGGACTGTGGTTCACAGTGTAAGAACTGCAATGAGAAGGCAGAACCTCACCTTATTCATCTGCATCTGGCAGAGAGCACATAAGGTGACTCAAATTTTCACTGGTGTGTACAGGTTTAGGAATAACCACAAAAAACTTGCACGTATTGATTTGCGGATACAAATAAGTCTTAGTCAGTGAATTGACAAAGACAGAATTAAGACCAACTCTGTCAACAGTGTGGATGTTAGAAATCTTGGTGTAGGCCAGGTGCGGTGGCTCATGCCTATAATCCTGGCACTTTGGGAAGCTGAGGTGGGTGGATTGCTTGAGCTCTGGAGTTCGAGACCAGCCTGAGCAAAGTGAGGCCCAGTCTCTACTAAAAATAGAAAAACTAACTGGGCCCTGTGGCAGGTGCCTAAAGTCCCAGCTACTCAGGAGGCTGAGATAAGAGAATCACTTGAGCCCAAGAGTTTGAGGCTGCTGTGAGCTGACACCACAGCACTCTACCCAGGGCACAGACTGAAACAGAACAGAACCGAAAAGAAAAGAGATCTTGGTGTAGGGGAAGGAGACTAGGACTTGGTTCTGTCTGGTGAGAAACACACTGTTGAGAGACCTCAAGCAAGTGAAAATCACTCAAATCACTGAGACTGTTTTACCTTCTGTAAAATGAGGATGCTGTCTCTCCCTCTCCTGACCCTCCCTCCTTCCCAGGTGAGTGTCAAGAAGTATTCTGAGGACTGTGAGGTGGTACTGGAGGGAGAATGAAGGTAGAAGAAGATCCCAGAAGGAGAAAACAATGACAAAAAGGCAGGAGCCCAGAGGACATAGATTTGGGCTCCATGTAAGGAGGAATGTTTAAAAGTCCATCTGCATATAGAATAACTACAGCGAGACATGGTGAGCTTCTTATCTCCAAGGGCATTCAAGAATAGTCTGGAAGAGGATGAGAGAAACAGGCAGCAGAAGGGATTAAGAAGAAAGAAGTGCTGTTTGGGCTAGATTCCAGCTGACATCCCAGGTGCTGGCCTGTGTGTATGTGTAACTCAGATATGACGTTTCAGGGGAAGTGTTTGGGGGAATGGGGGGATGACTTGGCTCACATTGGAGGGCACTAGACAAACATCTCTGAGACTAAGGAAATGGGGGAAAGAAGGAAGACATTTGTTGAGAGTCTGTTGTGCTGGGAGTTGGTCTCATTTAATCCTCTTACAAACCAACAAGGTTGGCTTTAACTCCACTTTACAGAACATGAAACTGAGATACAGAAAATTAAATAGTGTGGTCCAAATGACACAGTAAATTAGAGGCAGTCAGGATTTGAAACCATGTCCTGCCTGGCTCTAACACACTCAGGTGTTTTGGGTTCTTACACTGAACCTGAGGGAGGGTGGGGTGGGCACAGAAGATGACCCTTAACAGCCACAGGGATTTCAAATTCCTTGAGAAACCAAGGCCCAGTACAAAGCCAGGGCCTGTTGCCTGCAGGGCACTCTGCCAAGCTTTGAGAAGTGGCCAAGGACCCTCTGCATTAAGTCAGAAATAAATTTCAGAAGTCTCAATGCAAAATTTGTCTCCAGTTCCTCATTCTTATAAAAGTACAAGTCCCTCTAGAGCAGGTAAGGGAGAGGGGGGGTAAGAGCTGTGGATTGCCTGTGCACTAGGACAAGAAAAAACATGTCTTTATTTTTGTTATCCTCCAATGGAAATTTAACCTTTCATCAATTCGGTATGTGAGCAACAAACCCCACTAATCTCAGCAGAACCCAGGCCTATGCCTTCAGTAGACACCACAGATATTTTCATATGGCATCACAGTGGTACTGACTTTTCAAAATAATGTTTATGTTCCTCAATATTTTGAAATTAGAGCAATTAAGACCCACTGCCTGATCTCACTGTCCAACATTTTGATGAAAAGCTGTTATCATGACATCCCCAATTTTGATTTTTAAAAATATTTTAAAATATTTTTAAAATGACATATTCTAGTGTCATTGGCTTCTTTTGTTACCTTACATGTTTTATTTGATGCATTTATAAGCATTATTCTGAGAAAAACTATGACAGCTAGTCAAAGGGGTCTCTGGCCTCCTAATGCCCAAAGAACCCAGTTTTAGAGTAAATGGCCCCTTGGCCACTAGGTGGTGGGTTTGGCCAGAGCATGGGGCCTGGGCAGAAAAGAAGGAAGTGCTAAGGACAGGTAGAGCAGAGTGTGGCCTCTGGAGGAGACAGATGGGTGGTGCTGGCAGGCTTGGTGGAGGATACGTTCTATGAAGGGGCCCAGCCCAGTGGGTTAGATGTCCAGGAAGGGGCTGGCAGAGCCCCACTATAATAGCCAGACTGTGACCAGCCCACAGATTCAGAGGCCTGACTGCTTGGATTGAAATCCTTGCTCCTCTGAGCCTCAGTTTCCCCTTCTGGAAATGAGTTAACAACTGTGCCTACCTCACAAGATGACTCTAAGGAATGAATGAGATCATCTGGGTACAAAGCAGTGTCCAGCTGGGTGTAGTGGCTCACACCTGTAATCCTAGCACTTTGGGATGCTGAAGTAGGAGGACTGCTTAAACTTAGGAGTTCAAGACCAGCCTGAGCAACAGAGAAACCCCATTTCTACTAAAAATAGAAAAACGGAGGCAAGAGGATCACTTGAGCCCAGGAATTCCAGGTTGTGGTAAACTACGATGACACACTCTACCCAGGGTGACAGAGTGAGACTCTATCTTAAAAAAAAAGAAAAAAAAAAGGCAGGGTCCAAAAAATAATTAACACCCATTATAGATTGGCCTTTTGTGGGAAAAAGCAAGCAGAGTGGTGACCGAGATGCTAATTAATATTTCGATATCGACCACATGCTGAACACCTATTATTACCCTGGGGGGAGCTCCATCTATGACATCATTTTGCCTTCCCTGAGACTCTTGAGGTAGGACAGAGAGGGACAGAAAGAGGTGGGACAAGATAGTCAGCATGAGCAGGGATGGGAAGATAGAGGAAAGGAAAGAGATGACATCGGGGGGGGCAGGAGATAAGGAGGAAAAGGATGGGACCCCCGAGATAGGGAGAAAGGAGGCAACCCCAGGAGGTATGCCACCTCTCCAGGACTAGCACGAAACACAGGACAGGTCAAGAAGAGTTTTGGTAAGAAAATGGCTCGAGGGTGGCATATGCAACCCCATCCCAAGTATCCTCCCCACACCAAAACGCCTACCTCAGTGGCAAAGAAGCCTTTGGGTCGGTGTTTGCCCAAGGACGCGAGGCCACCAGGCCCAGGACTCTCACTTGCACTGATGGTTTGTTGAGCTGCGGCCAAGATTTCATCCAGTTTGTCTAGGGGGAGGTAAACAGGGGTGGGAAGACAGTGAAATGAAGTTTGAAATGAAGTTTGCTTTGACCAGCAGCAGAGACAAGAGCTACCCCTGGGAGTTCAGAGGACACCTGTACAATCAGAAAAGGGCAGCCCTGCCTTCTTGCTGGTGAACGGGCAGTCTAGATTGGAGACAGCATCCAGGGAAGCAAGGGGGGTGGAGGGCCAGCTACCCTGGGAAGGGGTTAGGGGAGAGTGTGGCCTTGCTGGGATGAGGGTGAGGACCTTGGAGGTGGCCCGAGGCTGGCTGCAGGCTGGAGGAAGGGAAGGGGGTGGAGTGGATGCAGCACCCCAAGGGCCAGAGACTGGGGGGACTGGGCAGCCCAAGAAGCAGGGCTGGGCCATCTTACTGAGAGCCATCTGATACACGGTCCGCTTTTTCTCCATGCTGGGTACCGGTGCAGGCTGCTGCTCGTACTCTGTGGGCAAAGGACATGGCTGAAGCCCTGGGTGCCTTCGTAGGGTAGGGTTGAGTGGGCTCGGCCAGCAGGTGTGGCCACTGGGAGTACATAAGCGCAAGTGGGGTAGTGAGGGGCCAGGGTCGGGAAGGGGTGAGTCCACCGGCGGGATCGGGAGACTGGGGCCCTCCCGCCAGTCCTGTGCCCACTCACCACTCTTCTTCTTCCAGGGGGAGACTAGCCCGAGGGGGAGGCAGTAGAGGAGCCAAGAGTTAGGACGTCAAGGGAAGGCGAGGGGCCCCCTTTCTGGAACGCCCGCCTCCCTCGGGGCCCCGGGGGTAGGGGCGGTCAGCTGTCAGACCCGCCCGGTCAGGGGAAACCGGACCCCCCAGGTCCACTCAGCCTCGAGGCTGGGGCTCACTTTCCTCTGTTATTGGGGACTTGGGGGAGCTAGTGGAGGGAAAGATGGAGAATGGGGATGGGAGTGAGGTGGGACAGAAGGAAGGAGCCGGCAAGACCCAAAGAGTGGGTCACACACAGACCGTGAGAGAGACCCCAACAGAGAAGTAGATACAAGAGCACAGAGGAAAGCAGGCTCTCAGCAACCTTTCCCAGCAACACACACACAGGCCAGAAACAGTCCCACCCAAGGGGTGGGGGACAGGATGAGGACAAGGACCCCTGGTCACTAACAACACTAACAAACTCAAGGGATGGTCCAGCCCCCCCTCGACTTCTCCCTCCGGCCCCTCTGGCCCAGCACCCGCATAGGCTCACCCATCTCCTCTAGCTCCGAGGTCATAGACTTGGACCGCAGGGAGATAGTTGGGGGTGGGAGTCGCTTAGCCTGCTGGGGTGCTAAAAGGTGATAGGGAGGTATCAGTATCATGGTGGAGAAACCTTCACAACCCTTCACCACCACAGTGCTCCCAGAGGTCACAGAATAGCCACCACCAACATGCTGAGCCCTCCCTGCCTCAGTTTCTTCCCAGAAGGGTCATAAACAAGCAGACTAAGGGAAAGGAAGGCCTTGGGTGGTGGGATTCTGAGGGTCTTAGTCTGGTGACAATAGGCTGCCCAGGCCTGGCCCTGCAGTGGTGGAGCACCTTTCTTATGAACTGCCTCATCCATGTCCGGATGCCTGGTGACCATCACCACCTTGACCATCAGCGTGTTGCCCCCTTGGCGTATCATGTTCACCACCTGTCGGTGGCCCACCTTCACCACATTCTGCCCATTCACCTGTGGCACAGACACCCCCAAATGACACAGAGTAGATGAGAGGAGGGGTGCCTTTAGCTTTAGAGTACCCTGTGAAGTGGCCTCCTACCTTGCCCTGTCCATGACCCTCTGACCCTTCATACCATCACCTCCCTTTGCAAGGCCCTGTCTCCCCCTCTCGGTAATTCTCCAGGCCCTGGGATTGAGGAAGAGATTCCTCCCACCACCCTATTCACTTTTCCCTCCCACTTGTCCTCCAGTATTGTGTGTGTATATGTGTGTATGACCACACATGTGTGCACATGAGCACACATGCTGGGGATAGCTGAGGAAAGCTCTGTACCCCTCTTGTGAGATGCTTCAGAAAGGCCTTTAGATGGAATTGCTGAAGAAAGCAGAGGCTGTCTGGAGGGTAGGATAGGGGCTGGGAAGCCTTGTGCCAAAGCAGAATCCAGAGGTGGGCAGCCAGATCCTGGCCTGGGGTTTTGTTACCATGGGTCCAGGAAGAGAGGGGCCCAGGACTCACCTCGATGAGGAAGTCTCCCATTCGCAGTCCAGCTCGCCATGCCACACCACCCTCGTCCACTGACTCCAGGTACTGCAGTGCCGGGAAGGCTGGGGTGGGGGTGAACTCCTCGATGGGGGTCTGCGCTGCAGACAGGGAGGATCCGGCGGGGTCGGAGGGGAGGGGGTGGAGAGGCCGAGCAGGGGATGGGGCTCAGACCCAAGTCACGGAGGCCTCACCGTAGCTGAGGGACCAACACTCCAGGGTGGGGTGGTGGGGTGATGAGTGGGCTGGGGTCCCTTCCCATCCCCCCAACCTGGTCCTGCTTCCGGGGTCAGAGAGCCCTTCTCCCATCCCCTCCTCAGCTGCCACTCACCCTTGGCCCCCCGAAGCACGAACCCAAACCCCTCACTGTCCTTCTTCTGCAGCAAGACTGTCTTCTCCTTAATGATGTAATCACTGGCAGGGAGGCAGGAAGGATGGGGGTTGGGGGTGGAGAAGGGATCATGAGACAGAGAGCCAGTGCCCCACATGGCAACCCAGTGCCCTGAGCCCCTGCACCTCCTAGGATCTCTCTCTTACGCACTCTGTGTGTGTGTGTGTATGCTTGCAGCAGCCCTGACAGGCCTCCCCCGCAGAGCCCAGAGTGCTCTCTCTCCCACTCGCTCTTCCCTCATTCATCCATCCTCGCATCCATCCCCCTATCCATTCAGCAAGTAGCTACGGAGCCCACCATGTGGCAGGCACAGTGGGAAGGATGGGAAGATACATCTCCAGGATTACCAGACAGCTGAGCTTGGGTCCCTGCTAGCCACTTCCTTTCTGTGACCTTGAAACCCCAACTTAAACTTTTCATTTTCTCATTTATAATGATCGACAATCACAGACCCTACACAGTGGGGCTGCTGTGGCATGCCATGCATAGAGCATTTAGCACAGTGCTGAGTAGATAGTATGTGCTCAGTAGGACTCATTCACTGTCCTTAGATCAAAGTATTAAGAGGACACGTACTTCAGGCCTCCAAACTCCTTTTATATATGTATAAATGTATATATATGTATACAGTATAACACCTCCCATGGTCCCCAAGTGCATTGTAGTATCACTTATTCTGCATTCTCCAATATGGTGGCCCCTAACCACATGTGGCTATTTTTAGGAAAGTTAATCAAAATTAAATAGAGAAATCCAGTTCCTCAGTCACAGTGGCTATATTTCAAAGTGCCCAGTAGCCACATGTGGCTGGTGGCTATCACACTGGACACTGCAGATACAGAACATTTCCATTACTGCCAAGTTCCAGCAGACAGCACTTTGACAGTCTCTGCATTCCCTGCTACATCTCAAATATATCTCCTGCATGCCGTCAGCATATTCTAGTAAAATGCAAGCTACTCACGAAAGTGTTGATAGTCCCTAGTGAAGCCACCAAACCCCACCAGCTCATTTGGGTAAGGCTCGCATACCCAGCAAATGTCAATGAAACTCAAATACATTTCATTTATCTCAACACTTGCTCAAGCTCGTTGAGACTTCAGCCCCAAAAGCCTGACATCACCACTGTATACCTCAGAATCCACACCCATTCCATTCCAGGAGGATCCAACACTCCAGTGTATAAGAACACATGAACACACTGGCTCCAACCCTGCTATCTTCAGAATACTCAAGAATACTTGAGAGCCACCAGAATGCATCTGGTAAGGTGTGAAGGCTGTCCCAGGGCATGCTTTTAACAAACCCCACACACACATCCTAGCATATTCCAACAATCCCCAGACCTCAGTAATATTCACGTGGCCCTAACATACTCCAATAATAGCCAGGCATGCTCCTCAATTACCTACCCCCACAAATTCAGCAAAACATCCCTCCACGAATACTCCAGTATATTTCAGTAACACCCCCACACATCCCAGTATGCTCCAATAATAACTCCCCCTCACGCTGATCTCAGTATATTCTCATAACACACCCCCTGAACTCATCCCAGCACATGCTGATGATACCTGATATTCGTCTACTGTATTTTGGTACCACCCCCCACAAGCACCTCTGTATACTCCCATGATTCCCATCATAAAATCCATACATTTGTGCCATGGTGACAGTGTTCTGGACAGGCAGGCATATGCCCTCCCTGTACCCCCCTCATCATGCCCGGCATGCTCAGCAGCACACGTGCACACATGTACCTATCCCAGCAACTGTCCTTGCTCAGAGTGCATCATGGTCTGGTAAACACATCCACACCATAACCATGCCTTCCTCCCCCTGCTTTTATATTCAGCCCAGGGGTCAGCTACCTTAGGAGCTGGGTGGAGTGGGTGTTGGCAGAAAAGGAGGGCAGGGATTGAAAGGGGTAAATGAGGGAAGAGGAGAGGAAGGGAGGAATGGAGCCAGGAGGTCTTCTTTTTTTTTCTTTTAGAGACAGAGTCTCACTTTGTTGCCCTTGGTAGAGTGCCATGGTGTCATAGCTCACAGCAACCTCCAGCTCTTGGGCTTAGGCAATTCTCTTGCCTCAGCCTCCCGAGTAGCTGGGAATATAGGTGCCCGCCACAACGCCCAGCTATTTTTTGTTGCAGTTTGGCCAAGGCCAGGTTTGAACCCACCATCCTCAGTATATGAAGCCAGTGTCCTACTCACTGAGCCACAGGTGCTGCCTGAGCCAGGAGGTCTTGAACAGTGAGTGAGTAGACAAGATCAATGGAAATTGGATCAGAGGTCAGAACTGCCACTCCCAACCATGCATTTTATGACGTCCTTGTCCCCACTTTTGGAACCCTGAGGACCTACCCCAGCAAGTCCTCACAACTTTACCACTCCCATACCTCTTCCAGGATTCCAGCCAACAGCCAGCAGCCCTTCCTCACTGGTGGCACTCAAAGTCTTGCCATTTCTCCATCTTTCACCTGCCCCCTGGAATCTCTCGTTTACCCCCACATCAGCCTCACACCCGTTAAGGAGCCTTCCCCCATGTCACCCAATATAATCAGTAAAACTCCCATATCCGTGATATGCCAAGAAGGAACACTTGCCACGGTCTAGGTAGCATTTGAAGCCCTTCACAGGTAAATATGATATTGTTTCCTCACAACCAGCCTCTGAGGTAGGGACAGTACTAGTTCCTTCCACCTTCCAGGTGAGGAAACAGATGCACAGGAAGGTTAAGTAACTTGCCTGAGATCACACAATAACATTCTTCAACAATACCAAGAAAATACCTGGGTAACTATAGTAGTAACACCCATCACCCCACAGTACCCAAATGCCTTGAGCACGTATATACATAGCATCTGCACCAAATTCACCATAGGCATGCCCCTCTAGCACCTGAAATTTACTCCAGGTAGGCCTGAGAATGCAACGATGAGGAACACTTACTGAACTAATGCTGAGGGCCAGATACCACTCCCAGCACTTTACATTTACTTATTCATTTAATCCTCACAATAGCCCTGGGAGGAAGGGTGATTCTTATTGTTCCCATTTTATAGATGAAGAAACTGAGGCACAGAGAAATAACTTGTTCAAGATCTCATCAGCTGGAAAACTGTCAAAGCCAAGATCTGGGCCCGGCGCCTGTGGCTCAAGCAGCTAAGGCGCCAGCCACATACACCTAAGGTGGCAGGTTCGAATCCCCAGCCCGGGCCCGCCAAACAACAATGATGGCTGCAAGCAAAAAAATGGCCAGGCGCTGTGGCGGGCGCCTGTAGTCCCAGCTACTTGGGAGGCTGAGGCAGGAGACTCGCTTGAGCCCAGGAGTTGGAGGTTGCTGTGAGCATGATGCCATGGCACTCTACCCAGAGGGATAGCTTGAGGCTCCGTCTCAAAAAAAAAAAAAAAAAAGGCCAAGATCTGAATTCTCTTAAGGCAGCCCATATACCTTCCTCGCATGGCCAGATACCCCCAGATCAGAATAGCATCCCCTGTCTCTCCCCTTCTCAAACCCCCCATCCTGTGCAAGCTCCTCTTACCTCTCCATGACTTTCTCACTCTGTCAGCACATTCTCCTTGAACTTCACAACAGCCTTCTTACCCTCACAGCCTTCTGCACCTCTACACTCCATCTGGCTCACTACCATGCACCCCTTCTCCTCTCTGCACCTCAGCCCCCCCCCATGCCATCAAGGGAAGCTCCATGCCATCAGCCCTCACACCTCTGGAACATTCCTCCATCTACCAGGTTGCCCTGATACACATCACATCCCTTTCCTCAGCATGTCCTCCTCAGACTCCAATGACCTGGCCACCCCTGCTGTGCCACCTCTCCCCGCTCCCTTTCCTCCATCCTTCCTACATCCACTTGCAGCTCTGTATGTAACCCTACTGGATCCCCACAGTGCTCTGGCTCCTTTCATACTCCCCAGTTGTCCCCTATCATCTGTGAAAACTTCTTCCTACTTTTGCACCCTCTGTTCACTTCATCACACGCCCTCCCTCCAGCCTCCTTTTACGTGCAGCTGCATTTCATTTACATTCCCTGCAGCCTCTCTGTGCTCTCTCCACACTGCCCAGTCCCCACCCCCAAATCCTCTTCACATTCCCCACCATCCCTCCTCATTTCTCTTTTCTGCACCCTCCATACTCCAGCATCCACCCCACCTCACTTCTGTATCCCTTCATCTCCCCTGCTCCATTCCGATCCCTCCACCTCCTACCTATACCCCACTGACCCCTCCCCCCAAATCAGCTGCCCCCGCAGCAGCACCCCATTCATACTCCCTATTGCCGACTACCTGCCCTGCAGGAGCTCACATAATGCTCTCCCCCAAGCCATCCGTCAGTGACACAGAGCAGCCTCTGGAGCTCAGCGGCCAGCTCTTGTTCCCGGATCCCACACACATGGAGACTGCAGCGGCGTCCACTCCCCCCCACCCCCACTGTCCCTCTTACATGCCCAGATTCCCACAGCCCAGAGCCTGCTGCTGTACATGGCGCCCCCTTGGGCACTCAGCTCCTCCCCATGTACTCATGTCCATGGGCCTCTCTATGGCCAACCGAGAGGCCCCCACACAGGGAAGCCAGTCCCCTCCCATGCTGAGAAGTGGCACACACAAGCAGATGCGGACCCCATGCAGCTCAGCACACGTGCCCTACAAGGGGAGAGGGCAGAACCAGTAGCTCAAGTGGCCCCTATACCAATGGGCCCCCTGGGGCAGGGAGAGAGGCACACGGGAACAGAAACACCAGAGAATGGTGAAGAGGGGCCTGTGGGGGAGGGGCAGACTAGGCATGGGAGGGTGGGTGTTGGGAAGCACAGCCGCAGTCCCTGGGTCAGACCCACTATACACACACACACACACACACACACGCACGCACAGAGTCCCTAGACAGCCTCGCTGTTGCTCCAAGTCACACACAGAGATAGACACTGTCAAACAGGGACACACAGATGGACACAGTTGGGGGGTGGGCTGAAAGCCCATCATCTCTCCATCTCTCATCTCTCTGATACACACACACACACACACACACACAGCCGCGCGCACGCGCGTGCACGCAGCTGCAGGCAGTCACACGCACATCCACACAGCCACACTGACACACGCACAGTGACACGCAGCGGAAAAAGAAGGGGAGGGGAGGCGGGGGCGGGACGTGTGTGATGGAGGGGGTTTGACTGTGAATGGAGAGAGGGGTATGAATGGGGGGACTTGCCAACTCCGTGAAGAGGTGTGGGGCCCGAGAGATGGGGGGCCTAGGATGTAGTCACCTGAGGGGAAGTCACTGTGGCTCCCCACGGGGAGGGCTCCAGAGAGTGGGGGTGCTAAGGGCGCAGAAAAGCAAGTGCGTTCCAAACCCTGGAGGAGGGTCAGTTTGGGGGCCTGGCTGGAGGGGAAGGTCTTGCAGCAGGAGCTGAAGGGGGCCTGGAAGGGCCTTTGATGGGGTGGAAGAAAGGTTCCTAGGGCTGAGGAGTGTGTATGGAGGGTCTCGAGGAGAGGGGCTCATGGAAGGAGATGCAGAGAAGGGCTGAGAAGGGTCTGAAAAGGGTATAGGGCTGAGAGGTTAGGGACGAGAAACGGCGGGGAAGGGGCCCTTTGGGTGAGGAGGAGGATTCCTAAGGATGGGGGATTAGCGGCGGGAGAGGGTCGTAACTGCAGGCCGGGGCCTCCTGGCCTGACCGCAGAAAAAGGGGGCGGCGCGCTCGGTT